AACGTGGTCCGCGGCCATTTTTCCGCCCCTGACACGTGGTCCGCGGCCATTTTTCCGCCCCTGACACGTGGTCCGCGGCCATTTTTCCGCTCCTGACGCATGGTCCGTGGACGCCGGAATGGATTAACGGTAATTACATTGAACCTTATGGGAAAATTTGCCTCATGTTGCGACCAATTCGAGTTGCAACCAGAGTCACGGAACGGATTAAATTCGTAACTCGAGGTTCCACTGTATAGGCTAATCTGTGGAATGCATATGATGATAAAAACATAGATGTGAGTGTGAGGTTTTGATTACAAATGAAAGGACTAAAGCATATGTTGCAAAGTATGAGTTGGTGTCATCTAGACTGCAATAGGTATTAAGAAAGTAGGAATTCATAGGCTGACATTAGTTGCACATTTTGTTCTAATGAATGGTTATAATGAAAGAACCAGGGATGAGCTTTGGAGAAAATTGTACAACGTTCTGAATGAATGCAATCTTGGGAAAAGATTATTCTGCTTGGTGACATAAATGCATGAGTGGGAGCTTGATGAAAAAGAACAGGAAAAGTGACAGGGCATTCAGAGACCCAAGAATGAAGGAGAATGGTGATTGTTTGCTGACTGTCTGCTTAAAAAAGGACTGCTTGTTTGAAGACATGGTTTAAGCATAAATCTATTCATGCATATACATGGAAAAAACTGAATTGAACAAGAAGCATGATTGATTTGAGAGATAAAGGACTGAGAGAATTAGTGAAGGATTACAAGGGTAATCAGATATTTTGAATCAGGGACAGATCATATTTGGTAGTGTCAAGAATGAAACTTGGAAAAAATGTACATGGAAGAACAGGAAACAAATGAACGAAAGCAGTGTGAATGCTGAACAATTGGAAGAAGAGAAAATACAGATCCAGTATGAAAAAGTAGTAGAAGACAGGTTAATGTCCCAACAGAATGAAGGGAAGAGGTGGACTCTATTATGAATAGTAAAAGGAAAAAAGTACGCTACAGAAGCGTGTGGAGTTACTCCAATGGGAAATATAAAAAAGGATGCTTGGCAGACTGATGGTGAAAGAAGCTGTAAATGAGAAAAAAAGGGATATTAAAGAAGGATTGCTGCAAAAAAATGAGGATGAGAGAAAGATATTGTGCTATGTGTATATAGAGAAGAAGACAGTTGCAAAGAATGTAGTCAGAGAGAGCAAGGAACTGTTAAGGTTAAAAGAGACAGAGAAAATGCAGAGCAATGTCAATGAAAAATAAGAAAAAAAGAAATATTTTGGAAGTGGACAAAGGGAGACAAGCAAGGCGCCTCTAGCAGAATGAGTAGAATAAAAAATAAAAAGGATGAAATGATTTGGGATGAAATTGAAGCAAGAGGATGCTAGAAGGACTATTTTAGAGATTGAGATTGTATGAGGATGATCATGATGTGTTGAAGAATGAAATAGAAATGAAGGCTATAAATCCTAGAGTCCAAGAAAAAAATTATGAAAATAGTCATAAATGCCTCAAGAACATTGAAAAATGGTAAGGCTCCAGGTATAGAAAGTATAATTGGAGAAACAGTAAAAAGAAAAAATGGAGTTTGCTTATGGAGTGACTGTGCAACTTGCTTAATGTATATCTGTGAAGGCTGCATCTGTGCCTGACGATTTGTTCCCCTATAGAAAAAGAACTGCAAGGACTAGTCCAGGCAGTCGCCCGTAGTCAAAGACACAAAATACAAACAAAAAGTAATGTATGAAGAGTGAGGGAAATTAGTTTGTTAAGTGTGCCCTGGAAGGTTAGGCAGAATTCTGATTGAAAGGCTACATAAAGGGACAATGAGCAAAACCGTGCAGTGTGTTTTTTTGACAGGCAGAGGGTGTACAAGCCAGATTTTGCTCTTCGGCAGACCACTGAGAAATATATGGATGTGAGAATTGGGGACTTGGGGAATTGGAAGGGACCATTTTTTGTATACAGACAATTCTGCATTGTTGGATGAGAGATTCGGTGATTTGCCGCAAATGTTAGATAGATGGCAGTTGTGACGAGGAATATAAATTTGAAAGTTGATGTATCAAAGGACAAGGTAGTTTATTTGACAGGAAAAAGTTATATTCAAATGGTGACAAACTAGCACAGTAGATGGTTTTGTACATTTTAGTAAAATGTTTATTAAAATGGAAAATGGATGGAGCAATTATTAAAATGGAAAATTGGATGGAGAAATTACTAAAAAAGAAACATGAATGGAGAAATTATTAAAATGGAAAAATGGATGGTAAATGGGATAAGAAAGGGAGTCAGGGGTCTGTGGTCTGGGGCAAGGAATGAGTGTTTATCAAAATAAATGAAAATGTGTGGGTAGAAAAATGGCCTTCTGCCTACTGTTATACGGAGGTGACAGATGGATATTGCCAGGAGAAACACAGAAGTCAGTTGAATGCAGTGGGAATGGATACTTATGAAGTGTATGTGATAAAACCAGAAGAGATAGGGTCCAGAAGGGATAGGTGCTGAATGTATGTGAATTGATCACAACAGTGAGTGATGCAGGACAAAAGAGGTAACTTGGTCGTATGAAGAAATGAATGAGGATCAAGTCACAAAACCAATATATGAAGGAAGAATGAATGGGTAAGAGTGTTGGAAAAATACTATGAGTAATTTCCAGTCTAGCTGGTAACCAGCACACTCTCAGGCAATCCCTATATTCAGATCAGAGCAAGCATGCAGGCAACCCAATATAACTAGCATAAAATGTAGCTTGATGTGTATTTATTAATCATCAGCAAACATAAAAAAGAGCTAGCAAAATGGGATAACAGGCAGGCAAAAGCAGGCAACAGTTTGCAATATGTATATCTACCTGTATGTCGAATCAATCAAAAGGCACAGAACTTTTCAAAGCCAATGGAAACAGCACTGTGGATAGTCCCAAAGAAAGTGGCCTTTGGTTGTTCCAGCTTTAACCCTTTTATGCACATA